GCTGATGGGAGAAGTAACAAGTTTGGTGTAGGAGTAGGTCTTCCCACCACAGTGAACCTGATTGTCCTTCCACTGGCAGAGGAGTAAATTAGGAGCAAATCTTTTGAGTTTTGTACTTTTGTGATGACTGTGGGAAAAGATATTAACATATTTAAATGACATTTGTGCATGATTCCAACCTGAGCACACTTGCTTTGACAGACCTTTATACATATTTGAAAGTGCAGTGAGCACCAGCCTCTCTGGTGACCGAGGTCTGCACCACAACACACTGAGCAGAGGTTTCCTCTTGGTTGCCTCTGTGTGCCGCCTCTGTGCAGACAGCAATGTGGGAATGTGTCTGGCAGCATTCTGGGAATGTGTCTGACGTTCTGCCAATGTGTCCCCGAAAAGGGCCTGTGCATCACTTGAAGGGACAGGGAAGGCAGAACTGGTGTGCTGGCCTCTGGAAAGAGTTGGGGGGCTCAGCTTGGCAAGGTCCACCTTACAGGAGCGGCTGGGATGGTGCAGGTGTGAACGTGCAGCAGTGCAGGAGAATGGGAGGGAGGGAGGAAGGATTTCAGTAACTCGCTCCATGTTCTTTGCAAAGGAGATGACCTCTCCTCAGGCAGCTAGTCCTGACCAGCTTCGTGTCTGTGAGGTGGTGCTTCTTGGCAGGCATTTTCGTGGTCTGAGCAGCAAGATTTAGTAGATACGGTAGCTTCAGTGAGGGTGGATGTTCCTAGAGACAAGCTGCTGTTAGAGGATTGCTGTTATTCAGAAAACATTTTCTGATTCTTCTGTGATGAGGTATTTTGTGAGTGGAGGAAAGTATTGGCTTCAGTGGCTGAGCAAAATCCAGTCTTATGTTTTGGAGGGAGTTAAAATGTTTTTCTTGTTGCTTTAAAGTCACTGTGACTAGTTTAAAGTGATAATCCAAAACGGGTCTGACATTTTGAGTGTGTAAAGGCTGACGTGTAGATATACTGCAGTGAACAGAACTGATCTGTGGAAAATGCAAGCTAGAAAATATGAAGTGGAGCTCTTCATAAAGTAACCAGTGCTGCAGACCCTCATCACAGAAGCCCTCCCTACTCATGCAAGTAATTTTGCTGCCTTTGAGATGCTACAGTTCTCACTTGTGTTTCTGTAACATGAGGTGCTCTGTGCTGCACTTTATGTATTTCTGTGCCTCCCAATGATCTTGCTCAGGCTGTGCCAAATGCAGCACAAGCCAGAACCCCAAGTCTTCTTTTATATGAGCCCCTTTCCAGTTCCTAGCTCAATTCTTCTTGGAGCTGATAAGGTGGGCCAATGATACTTACAGCTTCTCCTTGGGCCAGGCAATACTGCTAACCTAATTGACATCGTGATAGAAATTGATTTCCTGGTAAGGGAGTCCTTTGAGTCCTTTCAAAGAGGTGCCTCAAGTCACTAAATAGTTTGAGTACTGCAGCTATTATGTGCACATTTTACCCCAAGTCTTTGAAGAGAATTTAGCGATGGATTTTTTCATGGTCTTCCTCTGATCAACTCCTTTCCCAGACTTGTTGACCCGCTTGTGAGTCCCCAAGAGGCTTTGCCCTGTGATAGTCAAAGAGTTCACTAGAGCATCCCTCGTGCTTGTTGTGCAACAAAGCCACAGCTGTTTCCTGGCCTCTGGGACCCTGTGTCCCTACAGATGGAGTGGCAATATTTGCCTCAGTGGATGTTATTTAATATTTTCTTATGTTAGGAACAATTGTTTAACAGATTATGAGTTGTCTCCAAGCAGCACATTGTCAAGGATGTCAATGCAATTGAATGTAAATGATAGCAATGAGAACAGCCCTTCTACCTCCGGGTTCTCTGTCAGAATAAACTATGCAGGGGAGTTATAAGTGGGAGTCCTTATTTTATGCTGTGTCTTGCCAGCGTTTGCACAGGCAAAACACTGTTGTCAGAGACACTCCTGAAGAAATGTAGGCACAGAACCACTGTTGTGTCATTGTTTTGTCTTTAAAGAGATCTGGGAAGAGGAGTGAGTAACTGGAAAGAAATTCCTATTTGTCTCTGAGACCCTTTCTTTGCAGATCCTGAAGCTCTCACTCTGTGCACTGTTAAGCCATAGCAAGTTTTAAAAAAAAAAAAAAAAAGGAAAAGTAGGTACAGGAAGTCTGGAAACCACCAATGCAGATTGTCTCTCCCTTTGCAACAAAATGGGGAACAAAGGAATTGATCATCCTGAGCCTTGTAACCTCCCAAGGAAAGCTGGCAGGGAGTGGTGGGGTTGGGAACCTCTTTTCTGGCCTAGCAGTTTGGATGGTGCTACGCTACAGCTTCTCTCGGCTGCCTGGCTGCTGTGCTCACAGAGGACAACAGCTTCTCTGCAGGCTTTCAGCTACGTGGGGAGTTCCCAAGCACTAGTCCCTGCAGGGCATTTTTTTGGATCTAGGGATCAGCCCAGGGCAGGCACTAAAAAAGTGTGGCAGTGAAGCTGCAGGAGCAAGCCCCAAGATGAGTCAGAAATGTGGTGTTGGCTCCTGAGATTGGGTCCAACTTTAGTATTTACTTATAAGGTATATAAAGCCTGGATGAAAGAAAGGTGAAGTGGGAACTAGCTAGAAGTGAGACGCTTATGAAACAGTGGGGTCATCAAAACCCCTGACTTGCTCTTTGAATTGATAGGTGCACAAGTTACTGCCTTTAAAGCTTTGTAGGTACGTAAAGAACACTCAGCCTGGTTGTAACTCATAACTAAACCCAACCAGGGCTTCTCAATGAAGCATTCTACCTCCACCTCCTGGAGAGGTTCACCCAGTGTAGCCTAACAGGATTGCCTAATAGGGATGGATAAAATACAGCAGCCAAGTTGCACTGACTTAAAAACTCATACGGTCAGGATATTGGCATCTGTTCTTTATGATAGCTTGATAATTGTAACAGTCATTCAGGAGTTCAAATGAAGGCTGAGCTTTCACTGCTCTCAGGCAGGCCCACATCTCATAGGAGACACCCAAACTGCTGGGCTGTCAGTGGGGAGGGAAATATTTGCATGTTCTCTAAGTTTTGGAAACTGTCAGTCCAAAAAAATCAGGCTTACCTCAGAAGGTGAGCAAGTGGGAATGTCATTCTTTAGAATGTAAAGAATCTTGGGTATTATCTGTGAGAACTATGGTTATGTTAAATATTAGGTATGATAAGTAATATAGGAAAGGGAAGAAAAACCCTTAAAATACCCCCCTTTTTCGTTTCCATAGTTTAGCTTGAATCATAGAATGGTTAGAGTTGGAAGGGACCTTAAAGATCATCTAGTTCCAAATAAAAAGGGGTAAGAGCGCTATCGTACCTCACAGAGGCGTTGCAAGGCTAGTTAAAAGTGAGATTGGCATGGTAACAGTCATCTGAAAAGTGTCCTACATAGCTTTTAATTAAAAAAAGAGATTATTTATCCAAAGACAATGTTGAGGTTTAAGTGTGAAAGGAAGGCTGCTGCTTAAGTTAATAGAAGCTCTTCAAGGAGCTCTTGAGGAAATGGAGAGAAGGGAAGATGGTGAGAAGGAATGCATGCATGAAATAACACCATTCAGATTAGGGTAGGGCCTGGCTTAACATTTGCATTTGCATATTTTTTTGTCATTTTTTTGTACTTCCTGATGAAAATTTAAAAATATCCTAACACAGTGCAATGCAGTGTTTATAAAAGACACTCAAAAGCACTTGCTTTAGCAATGAGAAATGACTTGGTTTACTTATTCATAGGAAGGGGTAAAAGACGTGTATTGTTTTTGGAACAAAGTACTTCAACCAAGCAAAACCCATGGTATTTAAAAGAGACTGTGAGAAACAGAGCAGTTAAAGTGTCTTGAAGTTATACTACTAGTATATTTCATTCTAAAGAGTGTATAAAGATACACTTCATCATGCTCATGGGATTGGGCAATGGATTTAGATAGCTGCAGGAATGTTTTATTTAAGCCCACTTGAAGTTTGCAACAGGACAAAAGATTTTGAAAGGAAAAGCTAAAATAAATAAAACTCTTTGCAATTAATAGGTAAAATGTCATTTATGTCTCCTGGTTGCAGGAAGCATTAATGACAGCTATGTATGTTTGAGCAGTTGGGGTTAGATCCTGAAAAGTAGACAGCACAGGCTCCCTTAAAGGCTCGCCTTAAATGTGGATGCTTCTTAATCTCATGCACCTGCTCAGCCTGTCTTTCAAAAGTCAGGGGGGTCTTTGCAGCTGTGAAAGGAGCCGCCTCCTCCTCCTGCCTGCCAGTGCCCAAGCACCAGTCTTGGCACAGGTGTAGTTTGTTAACTGCACAAGAGCCAAAGCAGCAGAGAAAAGCAAGGTCTGGGCCCAGCATTGAGTATGTTCATAATTTGAATGAGATATCAATCATAAAAGAAGTAGCATGTGCAGGTCCAGTGAGAATGGAGGTGTGAAACCCACTCAGTGTTTTTCTTACTGGCTTGTACAACAAACAAAAAGTTCTTTCTACTGGTGTAAGTACTAACCCTGGCTAATCTAGTGTCTAGTTTGGAGCACTGTGCTGTACACATCACACACGAAGTATTTGAGCTTGTGTGGCTGGCAGTGAAGGCTCCATTGAGAGGAGCCACTCTGTCTACATTCAGAAAGGAGAAATATTGCTCATGTGCTCTTTTGGCTGTGTGTTAAGATGTTTCACATTCAAACTGAGTGTTGTGGTGCATCGGTGCATGTGGCACAGAAGGAAACAGTTTGGTGAATCTGCCCTCGGTCAAGGGATGAATTTTACCTGCTTAACCATCGTGTGTTTTCCTTGCATAAAACCATCCTCTTAAGTTTGCATAATTAAGATTTTTTTTTTTTAAAATAAGGATGCATTTAAAATTTAAACTGGAAATAATCCTCTTGACTGCAATGGGAATAGTATCTGGGAAAAACTGTGCACTGTCTGAATCAGTCAGGATTGGGTCCTGAAATGAGTATTTTCTCTAATGCAACCATAGCCTTGTCTAATGTCTAACTGATGTGTTTTTTCTAACAGATACTAATTTTGTCTTGGGTAATGCCCAGATAGTGGATTGGCCCATTGTCTACAGCAACGATGGATTTTGCAAGCTATCAGGATATCACAGAGCAGAAGTTATGCAAAAAAGCAGCACCTGCAGGTATTTGGGAAGAGATTTATTTTCGGTTAAATAGCTTGTAGTATTGTGCTTGTTGCTTGAGCAGAAAAGTAATCTGTTTATTCCAGTTTTGTCTTTTATCTCCTCGGGCTGCATCTGTCAAATGTGCTTTCCAGGTGAAACAAAATCAAAGAAGGGCTATTTCTAAATAGGTCCTTTTCACACTGTAAACAAATGGCCTTGTGTCTTTGTCTAGAGTCTGACTTGAATTTCTTGTTTTATATGTAGTTTTATGTATGGAGAGCTGACAGACAAAGATACAATTGACAAGGTCCGGCAAACATTTGAGAACTATGAGATGAACTCCTTTGAAATCTTGATGTACAAGAAGAATAGTAAGTAGTTTATTGCTTTCTTTGTTAACATAGGTGTGTAAAGTTGTTTTAAATTATAATGTAAGATGCAAGTCTGTCAGCCCTAAGGACTATGCTTTTTCTAGGGCTAAATAAGCTCCGTACAAGGAAGAAATGAGAACATTAGGGATGAAAGTCAACTCAGGGAGGCAGATGAAGCTCTCTAATTTGTTCTGACGTTTAGAGCAATTTGTGTGTGATGCTTTAAGACAACACTCGAGATTCCATCAGCGATGATAATACACAAGCTAGGTTTTGTGCAAATGGTTTCTGTTACAGAGAGCATACTTTTTCAATTTTTAAAAATTTGACATAGCAAAGTCAGTATTTACATGCTGTTTATGAATAAAAGAACCCATCTTTTGTTTTAGAAGCTGAACTACTTCTTATGTTTTTAGATGAAACTGTGTTTTGTTTTTGACAAAAATTCCTTAATTGGGGTATGATTTTCTCCTAGGAATTTCAGTCTGTCTGTAACTGCATATGTCAGGAAATGAACTACTTGCCCAAAACATGTTGCCACATCTAGTGTTGACTGTGTCATGGCACAGTTACTGTCATCTACTTAATGCCACTTGAAGTGTAAATGCACTGAGGTCTTTAGCCTGGCCAAATGTTAAGCTGAAAGTCTGCATTCTGTAACTAATTTTACTATTAATAATTTTGCCTTCTAATCATGAAACTGGTAGTTTCTGTGTACAGGGGAGGGTACCTCCCAGAAGCATGCCACTGGCAGCTCCTTCTCATTACAGCTGTGATGATCAATTTGAACATCAGTGGGCATGGAGGACTTTAACCACAAAATATAACATAAAATGCTATGGTGTGATTTTTGACAGTTAATGTAATTGCTGCTTTGTTTCTTGTTAGAAAGACCAGTATTCTGGGGAAAGGTTATGTGAAGGTGTGTGTGAACTGTTGGTATTTCTCTTGAAATGGCCAGCTAGTGCTGGTGGAGGTTGGTGAGAGAACCACAGACACAGCACAAAAGCTAAAAGATAATGCTTATGTATGCTAGTGCTGATCTGTGGATGTGTGGAGCCGCTTGTTTTCTATCAGAATTAATCTGTTCTTCTAAGAAGCAGTAGTGCCAAAGTACATGGAATTGGTTTTTGTCATTTTTTTAGAGAGGGGAAAAAAACAACAACCCTTGAGAGATTTTTGCTTCATTTCTCTTCTAGTCTTTTTCTTCTCTTTTTAGCCTGAACAAAGCATCATGACTTCTCACACCGTGCCGTTAACCAGGGCTCTTCTGGAACACAACTTTGCTGGTCCAACTCGTTTGAAAAGCTACGTGTGCTGCGTGGCCTTGCTTTGTGCTTCTTTCCTTCTAGTGTTATCTACCTCCAATGTTTACCTATTTCTCAAAGCTGATTTCTGTTCCTAGCTCAGTTAATGGCTGTAGGGACATATGCAGCTCACATCTATGCATCCAAAGCCAAGTAAATAAGCTGCAGTCATGGGATCTAAGAGGGTCTGGAATTCTCTCTTAGTGAACAGTGATTTGGCACCAAGAGGCTCTGCAGCTACTCTTCTGTCATTGCTGCAGCATATGGCCTGTAGTAGAGCCTGGGGCCTCTCTGTCTTTTATGCAGATTAAAAGAAAGGTGACTGTGGAGTGAGGAATGTTTCCTGCCCTGCTGTGCACTTCCCTGAGGAGAGGCAGCCTAGAACAAAGTCCAGCTGTGCAGAGGCTGTGTCCTGAGACACACCAAACAGCAGAGCTGCGATGGTTCTGCCGTCTGCGCAGAGGGTCACAGGCATGGGAAAAAGGAAAGCAGAGCGCTTGCTTTTAAGTTTAACAAAACACAGTGCTCTTATGTTTTGTTAGATTCATAGCTTTAGAGGTACATTAACTACTGTTGCAGAGACTGACTAATAACACTGGAGAGTTGTAACTGAAAAATATCAAAAAGGGGACATCCTGGAGCTTTTTCTCAGAATCAGCCACATCACAGAAGAACATTGGCTTGTTTGCAAGTCACTTAGCACCCAGACTGCTAAGTGGTCTTGCCTTTGTGGTCTTACCTTTGCCTGCAACTATGGCAGCTGCCTGCTTGGGCAATGGATGTGATTGCTTTCCACCTACTTTCAGCTTGAAGGGTTTGGAAAGGACCCTGAATTTTGTTAGCTGTCTTTTTTCCTCCTCTTTTTTTCATTTTATTTGTGTCTCTATTCTTCTCTTATTCTATTTTTCTTCTTCAAATTATCCAGCAAATTAGACAGGAAATAGAATTTTGTTGTTCTTTACCTGCCCACTCCCTCCCTGTAAACTAAGTCATGATATATAGCAAGTTTTTCTTCCATTTTTGTGTTGTTGAATAATTGGTACATTTTACAGGGGGGCAGTGGGGGCGGAAGGAAAACAAAGCAGGAGTTTCAGGTTAACTATGATGTTGCCAGCGCGGGTCTATCTTTATCTTGTATCTTTATAAACAGCAGTCAGCTCTCTCTGAGTAACAATTATGTCCTGATCTTACACTAGACATGTCAACAATAGATGGAGACATTTAATAATGCTACTAGAATTGATAGGCTTTTTTTTTTTTTTGGACACTGCACTCTCCATGGTGGTGACCCAGTGCTAGTCTGTACTAGGTTGTCTGATAAAAATACCCCATCCAGATACTGATAGGTACAGCAGCTTTATTGCAATTCACAATATCAACTCTAGAAACAGCACAGGCTGTAATATTCAGAAGAATGATACAATTTTCTGCCTTCGTTATGTTTGTATTTATGGATACTGCCCCTACCCTGGCCTCCCCTCTCTCTGCCCAGCCCCACTCCCATCCAAAAGTGACTATCCTTCCTCTTTTCAGACTTGAAGTTAAGATGCAATAGAGATTTGATGGTTGCTTGGGTTAGGCCCTTGATTCCTTAGCAAATGTGTGACAAACATTGTTATTCTCTGGAATAATTGCTTCCTAGAAATGCAGAGCTCCTTCATCCTTCAGGATAAATGGAAGCAATTGGAGTGAGCAGGTGCACAGCCACCAGATTTTTGTCATTGAGGCTCTGATGTCACCCTGTTGCATTCAGTAGAGATTCATGGTCATACCTGGAAGGAGACAAAGTGAAAGCTTTCTCTAATCTGGACTGCAAAATGACAACAGACAGGTTGACAGTAATTTCATGTGAGAGCTTCAGTTCCATTGTTTGATTAGATGTGAGTGTTCAGTGATGCTGGATGTATTGTTTATTTTTATACGGGAACATCAAAACATTGCTAAGTCTCACTGAAATTGGTTGAGTTATGTTAATTTACACCAAGGAAGGATATGGCCTAATGTATTATAAAATATTTTGTATCTAGTCCTATTCATATCTTAGCTTATCTGAACTGATGCAGCTTAAACCTCTAGCTTCTTATGAGTCTTTGACAGCCATTTGTTAGGCTTTTATACTTTATAGCCAGCCTCATAAATTAAAATGGCTGAGTAAATTAACCTTGGACTTTCATTGTCCATTTTTCCATCTACAACACAGGTCTGGGTTACAAGCAGTGCAAAAGCAGGCTTCTAGATGCGCTTGCTTCCATTACTGCTGAAGTAAATTTTTTGTAAGAATATAAGTTTATTGGTTTCTGTCTGCCTCTGAAGAGGTGGTGAACATTTGAAATCGAACCCCCCTTTCTATGCAATGCTTGATCTACTTGAGTGGAAGAATATCAGATGTGGGCTGGACTCTTCAAAACTGAGATGGATGAAGAGTTACAAAGAGTCCTCAAGTGTTCCCTGTCTGAGCAAAGACATTCCCATTGCTCCTTGTGCTGCGGAGAGTGCTGACACCTTTTTTTCTTAATTTATTTTTATTTTTTCAGAGGTTTTCTATGAGTGAGGCCAGTAGAATGGCAGCAGCCAAAGAGTTGGCTCTGGGTAACTATTTTGCACACTGCAAAGTGCCTTGGGTAAGCAGTAGCTCTTCTCTGAGTACCTATATTGTGGTAAGAGTCCCAAAGGTTGGACTTCACTTTCAATTTATGCTGGGGTTCACTTCCCCAGTTTTCTGGGTGCTTGAATGGTTAACAAATTTAATACTATGAATATTTGTGTGGGTTTTTTCTTTTTGTTTGTTGGACTTTTTTTTTAACATATGCACCATCCTCCCACTATATATTAGAAGGCTTTAGATGTCAAAGAATGATAAATAAGCCCAAGACAGTGATTTGGTAGATTCTATTTGCGCTTACCCCTGGGACCAATGCTTTCTACAGAGGTTAAAAAACAGACAAACAACCTCATCCTAATTTATAGAGAGCAGAATTCATTTCAGGCTGGTAGACCTCTTATTGCCCACCACTAAGGAGAGTTTCTTATGACTGTTATTGGTTAAAACAATTTAAAAACATTTATATATGTGTGTCCTGTGCCTCTAGTGTCTCCAGATGGAAACCTTTGCTAAACCAAATCATTGCATAGAACCAGAAGCAGGGAAGAGTGAGGATGTTGGAGTGAAGTGGCATGTATCCTCCCGAGCCTCCCATTGAAATCTAGCTCTGTATTTGTCAGGCAGTATGCACACCTGCATCTCCTCTTCTGTGAAATCCATCTGCATGAGTTCAGTTACCTTCAGCAAGGTCAAATCTAAGTATTTTGGATTCATAAAACTGATAATTACCACTGATCTTGTCATCTTCAAATGTGTTGGCAAGCAAGACCTGCTGTAGTTCCCTCAAACACATACAGAACAGTAAGACTTTCCAGTTGTAATCCTAAAGTATTTTATCTGGGGTAAATGGAAAGAAGATATCAAGACTTCCCCATGTCTTTCCCTTCCTTATACTCACTTTCTGTTCTTCAGAGAACTCAGAATCAGCAAAATCCTATCAACACCACTGCAGTACAAGTGTATGTGTGCTGAACCTTTTTCTTACTGTGTTGTTTCAGTATCACAGGATAACCCCTGTGCATAGCGATTCCACCTTTGGGGACTGAAATTGATTTGCCTTATCTTAACATGTAAAGATCTGACCTTTAGAA